TGCCCAACTCCATATCTGAATATGTTATCTTAAGGACAATCTGTAAAAGGTCTGTTTTATCTCTCTCCTCTGCTTTTGTATTTCTGCTTGCCAACTTCCCCTGTGACCCCCTATAAAAACAGCCTCAGACTCTGAGCCAGTTGGCTCTCTAAGCTACTTTGCTTTGGGAGTGCTGTCTGGCCAGACTAATAAAGGTCTGTTTTACTTTCCATCTTGTCTGGTGTGTTCCTTCTTGGGTGTTCTTCACTGCAGTCAGCTCCTCGGAGCATTTGGTTAGGCCCTCAGTCTTACATCCTGGAGGCCCCAGTGAGATCCCCGGGTAGGAATCCCCGGTTCAGCCGAGACTCTGTGGAGGGATCCAGCAGGAGATTCTCAGGCATAGACCTCAGAAAACCTCCGGAGGTAAGCTTTTGGCTGGTTGCAACCATTTGTTATGTCAGGAGTGAGGTGGCTGATGCCCGGGAACCCTCCCCTGAGGGTTCCTGAGAAGGAACAAGGGAAGATTTAGTTTCAGTTTGTCGTGGTGCCTGTTTGCCTTGTCTTTTTTATGTTAATGTTGTGTCTGTTGTGTGTTTGATTTTACAGTTTTTTCTTTCCAATCTTCATCAGGAGCAGAGTAATGGGAGGAACCTGTTCTACTGGGTCCACTCCGCTTGACTGCTTTCTCACTAATTTTAAATTGACTTTTTCTCCAGAACAAGAAGATGAATACAGGGTGAAATTTTCTCATGGAAAACTCTGCTCCCTGTGCCAATGGTAATGGTCAGCCTTTGGGGTGGGATGGCCAGCCGAAGGGACTTTTGATCCCAGTGTTTGCCAGGCATTTTGGGGCAAAGTCACTGGTCACCCTGGCCACTGAGACCAATTTCCCTACATAGACATCTGGGTTCAAGCTTGTGAGAAACCTCCGGCTTGGCTGCAGTGCTGTTCCCTCCAAACAGACACTTGCATTTTAGTCACTGCCCCAAAAGGGCCCTGGGAATTTAAGCCCTGGGCTCCTAAGCCAGTTCTCTTGCAGGAACCTGGCCCCCTGGATCCCTTAGGAGGGCCTCAGCCCTATGTGGAATCCCCCACCCCCTCAGATGGCTCCTGCTCTGAACACCACAATCCTTCCCTTCCTCCGTCTGTTCAAACTTCGGCTCCTACTCCTCTCTATCCTCCTCTCCCTGTGGGGCCTCAGTCCCCAGACTCTGACTTCTCCCCCACACTTGTGAGCTGGGGCTGTGTATGGACCTTGCAAGGTCCCCACTGGGGAAATTAGTTCAGCCCTTCTCTTGCCCCTTCAGGAGACAGAACAAGGTCACTATGTTTATATCACCTTCACTACCAGTGACTTATATAATTGGAAACATCAAAGTCCTCCCTTCTCAGAGAAGCCCCAAGCCCTAATATCTCTCCTAGAGTCTGTCTTCCATACCTGTGATCCTACTTGGGATGATTGCCAACAACTCCTCCAGGCCCTTTTTACCTCAGAGGAGAGGGAAAGGATCCGAGGAGAAGCTGTGAGGTCGGTACTAGGTGGACTGGAAGGCCCCCTAGATGACCAACAGTGAGCCCATCTGGAAGAACAGCTCCCATCCATCCAACCCCACTGGCAAACTAATACCTTGGGTGGGAGAGAAGCTCTCCAGAACTATCATCAGCATCTCCTGGCCAGCCTGAGGGGAGCCGCTCAGAAGTCTACCAATTTGAGCAAGGTAAGCGAGGTCCTTCAAGGACCAGAGGAATCCCCTTCTGCCTTTTTGGAGCATCTGTTGGAAGCATACTGTACATATACTCCAATTGATCCAGATGCCCCTGCAAATCGGCAGGCAATAAATTTGGCATTTGTTACCCAGTCAGCTCCAGCCATTAGAAAGAAGCTACAAAGACTAGAAGGACTTGAGGGAGAGAATAGAAAAAAGTTTATGAGTGCAGCCATGAAGGCATTTAACAATAGACATCCTCCAGAAGAGAGGATGGCCAAGAGGCTGGGAAAAGCAACCATAGCCACCTTGGCTGAGGGAGGATTTGTCCAGAAAGAAAGACTCAAAAATAAGGGAGGGAGCAAGGGGAGGATTTGACCCCTATTAGAAAAAGATCAATGTGCCTATTGTAAGGAAAAGGGCCATTTTAAGAAGGACTGTGAAAAGCTAAAAAGAAAAAGAAAAAAGGAGACCCAAAAGAAAAAAGGTGAAATCCTCTTAATAGATGAAGAAGATTGATGGGGCCAAGGCTCATGGCTGCTCAACCCTAGTGAGCCTATGGTCACTTTGGAGATAGGGGGAACAGATGTTCAGTTCCTTGTGGACACTGGTGTGGCCCACTCTGTTTTTAAGAACCCCCCTTGGACCCCTCACTTCCTCAAAAACCTCCATTACTGGAGCCACTGGAAAAGTGGACCCCTACCCTTGGACCACTAGAAGGACTGTGAATCTAGAAAAAGGAACCATCACTCATTCCTTCTTAGTTATCCCTGAGTGCCCATAACCATTGCTGGGGAGAGACTTGCTATGAAAGTTGGAGGCTATTATTTCCTTTGAGCCTGAAAGAGGGACCTTTGAGCTTAAGCCAGCCTCCACCATTATGGTGATGGTTCCCCTAGAAGATGAATTTAGATTGCTAAAGGAGGGCACAGAGCCCCCTGAACAAAAATGGGACTACCTTCAGAAAAAGTTTCCCAGGGTATGGGCTGAAACCAATCCACCTGGGTTGGCCAACCACCATGCCCTGGTGGTGGTCCAGTTGCTGGCCTCTGCTGCCCCCATCTATGTGTGACAATACCCCCTCCAGCTGGAGGCCACGGTGGGAATCTCTAAGCACATCCACTGACTCCAAGAGGCTGGCATTTTGGTCCCTTGCCAGTCAGCCTGGAATACTCCCCTGCTTCCTGTGAGGAAGCTTGGCACCTCAGACTTCAGACTGGTACAGGATTTGTGGGAGGTGAACAGTCAGGTGGAGACCATCCACCCAACAGTACCAAACCCCTATACTCTGCTGAGTCTCATCCCTCCTGCCCATGTGTGGTATTCAGTACTAGACCTCAAAGATGCATTTTTCAGCATACCTCTAGCACCAGTGAGCCAACCCCTCTTTGCCTTTGAGTGGACTGACCCAGACACTGGAACTACCAGACAGCTGACATCGAACTGGCTGCCACAGGGATTCAAGAACTCTCCCACTCTGTTTGGGGAAGCTCTCAGCAAAGATTTACAAGGTGTAAGGAGAGTTTTTCCCCAAGCAACTATTCTTCAATATGTAGATAACCTCCTAGTGGCAACTTCAACCAATGAAGAATGTCTTGTGGCCACTGAGGGCCTCCTGGAAGTTCTCTGAGACCTGGGATATTGGATGTCCTGGAAAAAAGCTCAGCTTTGCCAGACCAAGGTAACCTACTTGGGCTATATTCTTGAGGAAGGGAAGAGGAGGCTGGCAGAATCACGGGTATCGGCAATTCTCCAGATTCCAGAACCAAGCTCAAAGAAACAGGTACGTGAATTCCTAGGGGTGATTGGGTATTGCAGAATTTGGATCCCAGGTTTTGCTGAAATTGCCAACTCCCTACATGAAGCCACCATGGGGGGAGATACACCCCTCAAATGGACTGAGGCTTGCCAGCAGGCATTCCAACTGCTTAAAACTATGTTTGCTTCAGCACCAATGCTGGCATTGCCAGATATAACTAAGCCCTTTACTCTGTATATAGCAGAGAAGAACAGGGTAGCTAAGGGAGTGATAACTCAGCCTTTGGGACCATGGAAGCAGCCAGTGGCATACCTCTCAAAAAGGCTAGACCCAGTGGCTCAAGGGTGGCCCACCTGTCTGAAGATTGTACTGCATCAGCTGCTCTAACCTGAGAGGCTGACAAACTGACATTCAGACAGGATTTGACTTTAGTCACTCCCCATGCCATTGACCCCTTATTAAACAGCTCCCCTAGCAAGTGGCTATCTTTTTTTTTTTCTTCTTTTTTTTTTTTTGGTACCAGGGATCAAACTTGGGTCCTTGCACAGCAAGTGGATATCTAATGCCAGATTGTTCCAATACCAAGGACTCCTATTGGAGCAGCTGTGCATCAAGTTTGCCACCACCACTAGCCTCAACCCAGCTACCTTACTCCCAGAGTCTGATGAACAGATACCCATCCTTGAGACTCTTGAAAATTTATGGGGAGGGCATCCGGATTTAATGGACCAGGCCCTCCCCCAGGTGGAGGTCACATTCTATACTGATGGGTGCAGCTTCTTGCGTGATGGAGTATGATATGCCAGGGTGGCGGTGGTCAACCAGGACCAACAGGTGGAATGGGAGCAAGGGCTGCTCCAAGGGACATCAGCACAAAAGGCTGAGTTGATTGCTCTGACCAAGGCTCTAGAACTAGGTGAAGGTAAAAGAATATATATTTTCACAGACAGCCGTTATGGCTTTGCCACTGCCCATGTGCACAGGGAAATTTATCAAAACTGAGGGCTCTGAAGGAAAGACAATTAAAAATAAAACTGAGATATTGACATTGTTACAAGCTATTTGGCTACCACGAGAGGTTGCTATCATCCATGTCTGTGGGCATCAAAAAGGGGCTAGCCCTGAGGTGATTGGTAATAATGCAGCTGATCTGGCAGCAAAACAGGCTGCCCAAAAATCAGTGGGGAAACAAATGGTTCTGCTCCCCACACCGGTGCTGCCAGAGAAACCAGAGTACACAGATGAAAAAATGGTGGAAATGACCAAAAAGCAGTGGACCCAAGGTAAACATGGATGGTGGATGACCAAGGATGGAAAAGTGGTGCTCCCAGCTGCTGTAGCAGACACACTGCTACAAGAACTGCATGGGTCCACCCACCTTGGCAAGAAAAGAATGATGGCCACTCTGTGACCCCATTTCATCAAGGGAATGGCACAAAAGGCCAAAGACCTAGTGAGACAATGCCCCACCTGTATCAAGGTAAATGCAAATTGGATGACCAGACCCCCAGGTGTCCTATATAGAGAATTAACTCCAGGAGAACATTGGGCATTGGATTTTACTAAAATAAAACCCAGTATATATGGGTACAAGTACTTATTAGTCTTTGTAGATACTTTTTCAGGATGGATAGAAGCCTTTCCTACTAAGAGAGAGATAGCCGAGGTAACCGTCAAAAGGCTCTTGATAGAAATAATTCCTCATTTTGGCTTGCCCTTAGCTCTGGGGTCTGACAATGGCCCAGCCTTTATGGCTAAATTATCTTGATTCATCAGTAAAGCTTTAGGGATAAAATGGAATTTGCATTGTGCCTATAGGCCTCAGAGTTCAGGACAAGTGGAAAGAGCAAATCAAACCTTAAAAGAGGTTCTAACTAAATTATACCTGGAGACTGAACAAGGTTGGGTAGAACTTCTCCCCTTTGCCCTCCTTCTTACCCAGTGTACCCCTAAGCCTCCCCTAAATCTGTCACCCTTCCAGATCATTTATGCACGATCTCCCCTGATCATCCCTCTGGTTGATTTGGAGTTAAAGGAAAGACTTTCCCACCTCCAACTCCTTAAGTCCCTAAAAGCAGTCCATCAGCTTCAATCAGAGCTACATGATAAGCTCAGAAAAACTATGCCTGGTCCCAGTGAAAAACCTTTGCAACCCTTACCCTATAAGCCAGGGGATTTGGTTTTCATTCACAGGTTTGACTCCAAGATCCTTGAACCCCGCTGGAAGGGACCATTTCCCGTCATCCTGGTGACTCCCTCAGCAGTGAAGTAGCCGGACACTCTGCCTGGATCCACCACAGCCATTTAAAGGCAGCACTCCTGGAGGAAGCAATGTCAACATGGCAGATTGATTGAAACACAGAGGACCTCCTCAAGATAAGATTGATCAAAGACTAGTTTGGACAATATGGGGGTTCTTGGGCTACTGTTCTTACCAGCCCCAATGGAAGGGGGATCTGGATGCCAGGTGGTGTTTTCCAGTCACACTTCCCAGAACTGGACTTGGTCCTTAAAAAATGCCTTAACGGGAGCTCACATTGCCACCATTACTACTGATAGACAGCCCCATTTTATTATAGGCCTGTGTTCTCTAGGGCTTCCAATCATTAGTGGTGGAGGGGCTGGATCAAAGGTTAAAGTTTCATCTGGAAAGATGGGTAAAGGGGGCCACGGAGGGAGGTGTGGAATAGATGATAAGTTAGAAAAAAACCCTCCAAGATATAGATATTTATGCCTGCCCCATAGGGAAAAATAAAAGGTGTGATGGGGGACCAGGAAACCACTGTCATCATTGGGGTTGCGAATCTACTGCCCCATGGGAAAATGAAGATACGTATTTGGCCTTGGACCAACAAACACCAAGTGGTTCATGTTCCAAAGAAAAATGTAATCCCATCAAGCTAACCTTAAAACAATGGTAAAATCCATATAAAGATTGGGAAAAAGAAAAATCCTGGATGGTGCCACTCTATGTGGGTGGAAAGGACCCTATGACTGACCTCCTCATCCAACATAGCCCAGTAATAGTACAGCCTAAACCAGTAGGCAACATTTATAGGGTCTCTGGCCCCCAAGAAAAAGAAAAGGCAAAAGGAACCTATAATGTGTCATTAGTTGCTCCTGAATCTCCAATCCAACCATACCTAAAAACCCTGGATGCCATGTACACCCTGTTAAATAAGTCTAGCTCCAATCTGTCTCAAAGGTGTTGGCTGTGTTTGAGTCCACGTCCCCCGTATTATGTAGGGTTGGCAGTAAACCGCACCTTCTCAGAAGCTGACCAAAATGAGTGTGATTGGAAACAACCGAGGTTGTCAATTGGGGATACAAATAAAAAGGGTTATGTGTTAAAAATCCAAGTGTTACATCATCTTATCTGGACAGTATATGTCCTTATCAGACACCCACTGTCAGTAATGAAAAATATTTAAAAGCTGGAAACAATGCATGGTGGGCATGTACAAATGATATAACTCCCTGTTTATCCATGACAGTCCTCAATCAGGAACTTGAGGTATGTGTAATAGTCCACATTTTACCCCAAGTGACTATATATGGAGAAGATCAGAGTTGGGAATACCTAGCTAAGAGAGCACACACCCAAGAGAGACAAGCACCACCTAGCATTGATTCCTGTGTTAACTGCAGCAGGCATTGTGGGATCAGCGGCTCTGGGTGTGACTGCAATAGGACTGCAAGACTCTAATTTCAAGACCCTTGCCCAACAGGTAAAAATAGACTTAGGCCTACTTACCGAGTCAGTGTCTCATTTGAAAAAACAAGTTGATTCTCTGGCTGAGATGGTCCTTCAAAACCGCTGAGGACTTGACCTTGGATTTATAAAAGAGGGAGGGCTATGTGCAGCCCTAGGAGAAAAATGTTGCTATTATGCTAACAAATCTGAAATAATAAGAAAAACTCTGGCCACTATAAATAAACATCTATAAGAAAATTATAATAGATTGATAAAACAGGAGGGATGGTTCCAGTCAATGTTTAACTGGTCTCTCTGGATGACTACCCTTGTTTCTGCCCTTTCTGGACCCCTGTTAATCTTGTTACTAGCTTTGACTTTTGGCCCATACATTATTAATAAGCTTATGGCCTATGTAAGGGCCCAGATAGGATCTGTTCGCCTAATGATTTTGAATCAACAGGCCAAATATCATCCTTTAAGTGAGCTAGATGAAAAAGAACAAAGATGGAGGCAAGAATACCAAGATAGTGCTGTATAAGATTATACAGCTTTGGGAAAAATCAGTGGGGAATGTAAGACTGAACAACAGTTACTCCATCTTTGTAATAGGGCTCCAACTTGTCTGCTTCTGTTACGGATCACCAGGTAGACAATGAGTTCCAGGGATGTGCTTGTTGTTGTCCCAGGAAGGTCTGTTGTGTGTGTAGTGTTCTGTCAAACTTGCCCAACTCCATATCTGAATATGTTATCTTAAGGACAATCTGTAAAAGGTCTGTTTTATCTCTCTCCTCTGCTTTTGTATTTCTGCTTGCCAACATCCCCTGCAACCCCCTATAAAAACAGCCTCAGACTCTGAGCCAGTTGGCTCTCTAAGCTACTTTGCTTTGGGAGTACTGTCTGGCCAGACTAATAAAGGTCTGTTTTACTTTCCATCTTGTCTGGTGTGTTCCTTCCTGGGTGTTCTTCACTGCAGTCAGCTCCTCAGAGCATTTGGTAAGGCCTTCAGTCTTACAGGAGAGGTGGGACAGGGGCCGGGAGCAGCGGTAGGGATGGTGACCCAAAAGCCCTTTCCTGTGGGCTGGGGGCAGCAGGAGGGATGGTGGCCAGGAATCCCCTTCCTCTGGGCCAGGAGTAGCGGGACAGAAGGTGGCCCAAAAGCCCTTTCCTCTGGGCTGGGAGCAGCGGGAGGGATGGTGACAGAGAAGCCCCTTCCTCTGGGCCAGGAGCAGTGGGATGGCAGCGGCTCAGAAGCCCTGCCTCTGGGCTGAGAGCACAGGGACTCAGTACCTTGGTCTGGTGGTCTGGTGTCCTCTGCCTCTTTGTAGTGTGGAACCAGGTGGCTTCCTGTCTGCAGCAGGGTGATTCATCATCTCCTGCATGACTCGGGACCTCGGTAGGCTGTGCACAGACCTGCCTGTCTGCAGCAGGCTGATTCGGTGTATTCCACGTGACTGGGGACCTAGGTAGGGCATGGGCAGACCTGCCTTTCTGCATCAGGGTGATTCAGCATGTTCTCTTTTGATGGAATTTTTAATCTCCTGGAAATCTGTTTGCATGTGTTTTATGGATTCCATTTGTTTCCTATCTTGGGATTCCATTGTGTTTCTCAGATCCTCTATTTTTTTTTTAATCTGTGTCCTCTCTAGATTTATTAATCATACCCTGCACCATGACCAAAATCTTTGCTGTTATCTGAGTAATTATTTCTGATTTCATTTTTCCCAGATCCTCTTTTGTTGCCAGTTCAGAGAGTCCAGTTGGTTGAGTATCAGATTGTTCCATCTCGTTTCCCTTTGGGGTTGTTATAGGTGGTCCAGAAGTCTGTTTTTGAGGCTTGTTTAGATGTCTTCTCATTTCCATGGGGGAGGGTGGTTCTGGTGCCTGCATGGTTCAGTTTCTCTGCCCTAGGAGCTTGGGATGGTGGTGGGGGAGCATCCTTCCAGGTCCGGGACCAGCTCAGCTTCTCTGCCCTAGGACCTTGGGATGGCAGTGGGGGAACTTCCTTTTGGGTGCTTGGGCCTGCTCAGCTTCACTGCCCTAGGAGCTTGGGATGGCAGTGGGGGAGCTTCCTTCCGGGTGCTGGGACCAGCTGAGCTTCTCTGCCCTAGGAGCTTGGGATGGCAGTGGGGGAGCTTCCCTCCAGGTTCTGGGACCAGCTCTGAGAGATTTACTTTTCTACTCCCATTCAAAGTCACTTTTACTGGAGACTATATCTTATAGAATAATATCTTCTTTTGATCTACTCAATACTAAATGGAGAAATTCTCACATATGAAACTAAGTAGGGGCAAATTTCTATCTTTAAAAGAAATGTTCACACTTTACATGCATAAGCATAGCTTTTGAAACTCGTGAAATATTTTCAGAAAGATTTGAACTTATTCTAAACAAAACATTTTTTTTCTCATTATAAGATGAAAATGAGTTAATGATGAGGAGCTTATATCACATAATACCAAAATGTCCACAGCAAGTCTTTCCATTCTCTCAAACCTTGGTAACAAGCCAGAAGTCTTTCTAAAAAGACGAAAGAGAAAGAGGAGGAGAAGGGGAAGGGGGAGGGGGAGGAGGGAGCTGAAGAGGATGAGGATGAGGAAGAGAAGGTGGAGGAAAGGGGAAAGGGAAGGATAGGAAAATGAAAGGAAAAGAAAACTTGGGGAGGAGGAGAGGAAGGAAAAGGAGAGCAAGTGGAAAAATTAATTTTCAAAGTAAGCATAGTTGGTTTTAATTACTTATGAGCCTTTGCTGTGATTGTGACAAAAAGAATTGCCGTGACACAAATATATTATTCTCACTGATATAAACCAGTCCTGTGCTAATTATGTCCTTTATATCACAAATGAGAAGAGTTGTTCCCAAGGCAATCAGAGAAACCGAAGAAGCTGCCTCTTCTTCTTCCCCCATTAAATTAGGATTCAATCAGTTATTTTGGGTCATCCAGTAAATGATTTAAATAACCAAGTTATATTATCTGCAAATCAAAAGAAAGTGACCTAGATGAACTTAAAATTTCTCTGAGCTTCACTAACTTTTAGACAGTTTGTTGGCACATTTGTTGTCACTTTTACTTTGGAAAACATGCAATTTTAAATTTTTTCTCTTCCCTTTCAATGTAAATCTCTTTGAAATGTTTACCCAATTTTACAGCTCAAGAATGCCTTTCTGAGAGCCTGGAACCTTCACTTTAAAGTGTTTTCCAGGGGAGATAACATCCCATTTCCCAGTTTGTACTGGAAGGTAGGAGTTTTATTGGTGACTTTTTCATTTTTATAATTAAATATATGAGGCAAGCTAATTTTATTAGAAATTTTTTTTTTTTTTTTACTCATGGTTCTGGAGTACAAAGTCCAGAAATTATATGTCAGGATGTGCAAGAGCCTTCTGGGATGGATCTCATCAGGTGGGAGCACATATATATCTCTGGCTGTATGATCTCTCCCTCTATTTACAAGGTCACCAGCATTCAGTCAAATAGTCTAACCATTTCTTAAATGTTCTACCTGTAATCACCACAATCAGATTAAAATTTGAGGTTCCTAACATAAAATATTGTGGATTACATTTTTGAATGAGATTTTTGAAGATAAAGCATACTGAAGTTAACATCAAAGTGGGAAGACAGCAAACACAGAAGGCCTAATCACAAAAAGTAAGAT